AATCTATGCAGAAATAGAAGTATAATGATGTACACCTGAAATTTTTACAATGTTATAAACCAATGTTACTGCAATAAACAAAAAATTTAAAAAAAAAAAGAATTCTTACAACTCAACAAGAACTTACCCAAGTGAAAAATGGACAAAGGACTTCAATAGATAAATCTCCAAAGAAGATATACAAATGGCCAACAAGCACATGAAAAGATGTTCAATATTATTGGTCATTAAGGAAATGCAAATTAAAACTACAATCAGAGACCACCTCACTCACTTGGATGGCTTTAATATAAAGAACAACGACAATAAAAAGGAAAATAACAAGTGTTGACAAGGATGTGGAGAAATAGGAACTTGTACATTGCTAGTGGGAATATAAAATAGTGCAGCTGCTGTAGAAAGCAGTTTAGTGGTTCCTCAAAAAGTTAAACATTGAATTACCATAATGACCCAATAATTCCAATCCTAGGTATATACCCCAGAGAAATGAAAACATATGTCCACACAGAAACCTATATACCAGTGTTTACATTTTATAGAAGCTATTATTCATAATAGCCAAAAGGTGGAAACAAGCCAATTCCATCAATGGATGAATGGATAAACAAATTGTGGTACATATGTACAATGGAATATTATTCAGCCACAAAAAGAATAAAGTACTGATACATGCTACAACTTGGATGAACTTGAAAACATTATGCTAAGTGAGATAAGCCAAACACAAAACGTCACATGCTGTGTGATTCCTTTTACATGATATACTTAGAATAGGCAAATCCATAGAGACAAAAAGCAGATGAGAGAGATGTGGGGAGGAGACAATGGAGAATGATTACTTAGTGGATAGGGACTGTTTTTATGGGGTGATGGAAAAGTTTTGAAACTAGAAAGAGCTGATGGTTGCACAGTGAATACACGAAAAGCACTGAATTATACATTTTAAAATGGTTAATTTTATGTTATACGAATTTCAACTCAATAAAAAAATTTTTTATAAAACCTTAGCAACACTTACTTTTAGATTTTGAATATTAGATTTTAATAATCCTTAAAAACTAAGGTAGCTATTAAGGTTACAAATAAGCATCCTTCAGTGGTATACAAAACTAAAAGCTGATGGATATGCACATCATGCTCTAAGGAGAACTCAAGCAAGGTCCCACATTTTGGGGTCCGTTGGCAGCCTGTTAGGAGACCCTTTGTGGCCCACCAGTAGACTATGGACCACATTTGAGAATCACTGATCTATCGTGTTCTTCCCAGGAATGTGACTCAGCAGCTGTGGACAGGCACAACTGTTAAAGGGCATAGGGCATACAGCTCAGGGCTGGAGTCTTCCGTGAGGTTGAAGGGCATGGCACAAGCATGGTGGCTATGCTTGTGTAAAATGGGAAGGGGGAAGTGGGCAGGAGCATACGTTTCCCGCTCAGGCTGTAAGCAGGAAGTGACTGTTCCCACTAACGGGAGTTGCCCAGGTATGCTCCATGTTTGTACGTTATAGTTAAAAGTAAGCCTGAAACTGAAGCCCGGTCACTTGTTAACTTGCCAGGAGGTTTCAGTCTGGAAGTAAAGTCATGGACTCAACCATTTTCCAACCCCCAAACTTGTGCTGCTTCTCCTACAGCAGAGTTGGAGGCGAGTTAGCAGTGACTAGATCTTTGAGCCTGCGGCATACTTTTCCATCGCCCAGGAAGAACCTCCCTGCCACACCTTACCTGGACAAGGCATCCGTTGGGTGCACACCATGCTTCCCTGCCCGGTGACTACATACAGTCCTGGAGCACCGAACCAGTAATTTATACTTCTAAGTGGAACTCCTCTGGCAGCTGAGAAGACAAGTTTAGCAAAATGGGACTCTTTAATTCTTTTAAGTCATATGTACAAGAGATATCAACCAAATAATTAACAGAGTATTAACCCTGCCCTTCATATGTGTCCAACAATGCTCCCAGGATACAAGATAAAAAAATATACACCACGCTTGTCCTAAACTGTATGCTTCTTGAGGGCAGAGATTGTGTCTTATTTGCCTGTGCTTATTCAGGGCCTAGCATTGTTGTTATGTGCCATCAAGTCAGCTCCAACTCATGGAGAACCTATGAATGAGTGATGTCTACAATGTCCTGTCCTCTAAGCTCTTTTCCTGCTGCCTTCTACTTTTCCCAGCATTATTGTCTCTTCCAAAGAATCCTGCCTTCATAGCCCCTACCAGAAGAGGTATTCAGAAAAAATTTCCAAATGAGGATTCTATCAAGTTGGCAAGATACATCCATTGAAGACCAATGTAATGGCAATGTGGTACAGAAGAAAGCACTTCTGTTTGTTTGTCTCCCTCTGCATCTCTCTCATAAGGACACTTGTGATGGCATTGGGGACCCACCTGGATAATCCAGGCTAATCTCCTCCTCTCAAGATCGTTAAATTAATTACATCTGCAAAGATTCTTTTTACAAATAAGGTAACATTCATAGGTTCTGAGGATTAGACATGGATATATCTTCTGGAGCCATTATCAGCCTACCACACTAATTTCTGACCTATGGCATATGACCATAAGTAATATACACCACTTCCAGGCCTGGCCCATGAAAACTTCCCAGGTGACATATTCACTCTCTTCTCCTCTCTGCTGGCTATCCAAAGAGGCCATGGAAGCCATGTGTTAAAGATGGCAGAGCCTCTACTACCCTGAGCCCCTGAAGGCCTATATGGAACAGAGCTCGCTTTTACCCCTGCTGATTGGCCTTTACATAAGCACTAATATCTATTGTCTTTAAGCCATTGATAATTTGGGGTTTATCTGTTTCAATACTAGCATTATCTTAACTAATTCACTATAAATCTGAAGTTGTCCTCCTTACCCCTTTCACTCTCCTTTTCAATATCCTATTAGTATCCTTTCCCAGAAGTAATTATTTTATTCACTTACATGTTTGTGTATTTCTTATATGACTCTCACAAGACTGTAAGTTTAACAAAGGCAGGGACTATGTATGTCTTATTCACTGTTGTATTCTCAATCATCTTGCCTAGCATTTGGCACACAATAGGTATTTGATATATATTTGTCAAAAACATGAATCAAAGAGCTCTGACAAATCAACTCAGCAGAGGGGAAGGAAATCTTTCCTGGTCAAAGAATCAGATCATGAAGCATGATGAGTAGTTAATTCCAAGGGCCTCAAGGAAGCCCATCTCACAAGCCCTGACTCTTGCTGGGGGAGCAGGGGTAGGTTCTCACACCTAAGCCATGATATAATCAGACCCGGAGCAGTTCCAGACTTTGGGAAAAGTTCATATAAGTTGCCTAAATCCTTTCCAAGGGGCTGTGCGACTACTGGAACTCCAAACCTAGCTTTGCAGGCCAAGAAGCAGAACTTATAAGAACACAAAGAGGATCCCCTGAAGTTGCCTGACCCTTAGCCCCTAATCCTAAAAATAAGCCCCACTGAGTACTGTGAGGGCAAAACTAAGAGTGAATTCAAGACCTAGCCATTGTCCTGAGTTCCCCAGACATCTGTAGCAAATTCCCATAGCTGTACCCCCTCTGTCTGCCAAGACATCATGTTATCCAGTGTCAGGCTTCCAGATGCTGTCTGCCCTCTGGACCATGAAGAGCCCTCAGTTGGGTACAGTTTGTGAACTCCTTGGCCTTTCTATCTTTGCACTCTATAATTAAAGGTAATTCTAAAAAATTTTCGTACTCAACTTCCTATAAATTGGCTCTTCCACCACCTTTCTTCTCCAGCATTTCACTGAAATCTCTCTTGCTAAGACCACCAACAAACTCAAATTTCCACATGCAATGCATATTTTTCAGTCTTTATTTTCTCAAAAATCTCTGCTGTAGCTGACACAGATGACTACCCAGTATTGCTTGAAACTTTCTCCTCCCTTGACTTCTGGGACAATAAACACTTGATTCTCCTCCTACCTCTCAGTCAGCCCCTTCTCAGTCTTCATGGCAGGTCACTCCTCTCTGCCCATACCTTAAATGTTGAGGACCCTTGGAATGCCATCCTTAATTCACTGAACGAGCCTATCACTCACATAGCTCCAGAGATGACCTGTGTGCTGAGGATTTCCAAATCAGTCTCTAGATACAGTTCATCTTTGGAGCTCCAAGCTGAATGTCCACTGGCCTCTAGCATTACCATGTACCTCACACTTAATACAGTGCAGAGGTTAAGAGTGGAGACTCAGAAGGACACAACATCCCTTACAGAGTATTCCTGCCAAAATGCATGACCTGAATATAATCATGAGGAAACAGACAAACCCAAATTAAGGGCCAGTCTACAAAACAATAAGCCAGTACTCTTTTTAAAATGTCAATATCATGAAAGACAAAGAAAGGCTGAGTCCAGATTGAAGGAGACCAAAGAAATAGGACAACTAAATTCAATGTGTGATCTGGGATTAGATCCTGGATTGGGAAAAAAAAAGTGCTATTAAAATTAGGAACAGTAATGAGTCAATCATCTGAATTTGAATATAAACTATACATTAAAAAATAGTATTATTTCAATGTTAAATTTTCTGAATTTGATAAACATACTGAGGTTAGATAAGAGAATGCCCTTGTTCTTAGGAGATACACACTTGAATATTTAGAAATGAAGGAAATGATCTTTGTGTCTTACTCTCAAATAGTTCAGTGAAAATAAAAGCAAAAAAAGAAAAAGATAAAGCAAATGTGGGAAAATGCTAATAATGGGTGAATCTAGATGAAGGATCCATGGGAGTTCATTGTAATATTGTTGCAACTTTTCTATAAATTTGATTTTTTTTGTCGAAATAAAAAGTTTAAAAGGAGAGAAAGAGTAGGTTTAGGGTTCAAATTCCAGCTCCATCACTTGCTAACTAAATAGCCTTGGTAAATTATATAACCATCACTGATTCAGTTTCCCCAGCTATAAACTGAAGATAATGATAGCACCCACATCCTAAGGTTTTTGTGAGGATTAAATACACTGACACACGTAAAGGGCTTGGAACATTGCCCAGTATATGGTAAGTATTCAATAATGTTAGCTAGTAGTATTATGTCTAAAATTGAACTTATTTCCTTTCCAACTTAGACTGTCTCCTATATTCTTGACCATGGTTTACAGCATCATGATCCAGCCAGTCTTCTAAGCTAGAAACTTCACTCCATCCTTCCGTGTGTCCCCAGCACTTTGTTCATGCCTCTATTACAGCACATGCCCTGAGACAGGATAATGTATTTGCATATGTCTGTCTCTACTAAATTTTGTTTGTCTCAACTAGATTGGAGTTGGGGATGGAAGGCAAGGGAGAAAGGAGAAGAGCATTCCAGACTGCAAATAGCATGCAGGCTCAGAGATGAGAGAACAAGGTACAAAGAAGTCTAGCTGGATTGGAGTACAAAAGGTGAGAAAATGAAGGGCATGAAGTGAGGCTAGACTGAATAAAAATATATCATAAAAATATTATCTGTATTCAAAGTTTGAAAGAATTTTCTGGTACATCCATTGGATTAGGACTGTAAGGCCTGACAGTGCCTCTTCCCTCCTCTCAAGGAAGATAGGGACTAAACCTAAGAGAAGCAAAGGCAAAGCTAGAGAGAAGACAGCAAAGCCAGAGAGGAGAGAAGACAAAAATGCATCCCAGGGGAAGAAGAGCTAAGGGAACTGGGGCTCCCTGATCTGAAAAAGAGACTATTCAATGATATATGACACCAGCATTTAGATGGACAAAAGACAATCAGGTATAAGCAGTCATTCAGGTGTCTGATTCTAAGCTCCCACCAGATTGCAAACTCAGGGAGGGACTGAATAATCTTTGTGTTCCCACCATGTAGTATAGTACTTGGCACATAGTAGGTAGGCTTAGGAAATGTCTGCTGAATACATGTGTAACTACCAACTGCCTGACCACAGAGGCTAGAAAATCTGGACTGGGTAACAGTTCTATTTCAGTTTCATAGGCCTCAAAGTGCTTAATATCTTTATCATTACCACTCACCAGCAGAGGCAGCTTTCATCATCAACTGGGCAAACTGGATAGCACCTCCTTTTCTGAAGCTTAACTTAAAAGTAGCCTGTCCTTCCCAGCCACCTGGGGGAAGAAATAGCACAAACTTACTAAGAGGCGGGCACAGCTGGCGACAGAAGAACTGCCACAAACACTGACAGAAGCACTATGCAAAGAAGCAGGGCAGCTTTAGTTTGAATTCCAACATGAGCCACGTCTTAATCTTAAACCTTCTGGAAGCTTTTGAGAAAAAAATACATTTCTGAGGGGGAACACTTACCATCTGGAGCTGCCCGAATGATCCCTTTAATGTAGTTGGCAGCAAAGACTGGCTGTTCAACGGTACAGTTACTCATCAGATCGAATGGCATCATAAAAGAAAACATGGGATCACTGACTGAGTGTGAAGTCACGAAGATCACCTAAGAGAGGAAAAAAACTTTGGGAAAGGAATGCAATTTGTCCAGAGATTGAGACATACAAGAGTAATTGTAAGGTCAAGGCTGCTTTGGCATCCTGGCCCAATTGAGAAACACCACCCATTTTCTTCCATCCCTCTTCAACACAGAAAATCTCAAAATACAAATGTTTTAAAACACTTTGAAAGTCAATGTTTAACCTCTCTCCATTTTAAGGAAAACAAATGTAGAGTTAATCAAATCAAAGTACAAGTAGAAATTACCCGGTAGGAAGTGAGAAATAATGTTCCCCTCTTTGTACCACTAAAGAGATTGGATCCCCCTGGTTGCTGTGGGAAGGAGAGGTCCACATCCTGACACTGCTGCAAGACACTGCAGAAAAAAGGGCAGACAGCACACAATTTAGACGTTATATAAAATGGCACACAGAAAGACCTTAGCACAGCTCCTAGCCCGGAGTAAACACTCAATAAGTGTTAGCTGCTGCTACCACGACTACAACTACTACTTTATTGAAATAGAAAGGAATTTAAATGATCTTGTTCTCTAACAATTCACATTTATTCTTCTCCCTCTTTACCACTGGATTCTTTTTTTTTTTATCAAACCTACTTCTGTTCTTAATGTTTATTTGTTAATTCTTATACTTCTTGTGCAGTAAGTATAAAGCACTGTGCTAATGGAAGTGTTTCTTTGACTTTGGTAAAGAAGGTAAGGTGTTCACAGAGTGCTCCAGAATCCTCTGATGTGTTCCCTCTGCCTGTCATGTTCTCCCCTCACTCTTTTTTTTTTTTGTGAGGAAGATTAGCCCTGAGATAACATGTGATGCCAATCCTCCTCTTTTTGCTGAGGAAAATTGGCCCTGGGCTAACATCCATGCCCATCTTCCTCCACTTTACACGGGACACCGCCACAGCATGGCTTGACAAGCGGTCCGCACCCCAGATCTGAGCCTGCAAACCCCAGGCCGCCAAAGCAGAGGGCACAAACTTAACCGCTTCGCCACCGGGCCAGCCTCTCTCCCCTCATTCTTAACCTGAAAAACTTGGACTCATCCTATTCTCACTCATAGAATACTTTTGGGTTTTTTTTCTTTCTTAGTAATTATTATAATATATATGTGTTTATTTGTTCAATGTCTTCCCTAATGATCATTAGGGACAATGTCTGCCTTCTTTGCCACTGTAGCCCCAGCAAACAGTGGGTGCTACTAAATATTTATTGAAAGAATGAATGAATGAAAACATGAATACAAATAATAATGCAAGCAATATATGACATACATAAATGACACAAAAATGTCATGGCAATTTAGTGGAAGGAGGGATTAGTTTTGGTTGAAGTAATTAGGAATGACTTTATAGAAAGGGGGAAATTTGAGCTGATTCTTAAGAGATGAATAGTGTTTCAGTAGGCAGAGGTGAGGGTAGGGAACAATGAAGGTATGCAGTGGAAAGCAAACTGCATACTTGAGAGTAGCCTACCTGTGTAGATTCATCAAAACAGCGTGGAAGTGAGGTTGGGAGGAATGGTGAGATAAAACTGGAAAGCCATGCTGGGACTAGAATTAGAGACATTGTTTGATAGGTAAGGAGAAACTGTGAGCTGCAGTTATCTCAGCAGGGTAGTGACATGATCAAGGAAGTGGTGTATACAAGAGGGACCAGTTTAAAAGTCTTGATGTGAGGTAATAAGAACTGGAACTAGGGTGGTGGTGTGTGGATAAACAGGGCTTTTTAAAAGACTATGAAAATATATGATGTCAGCAAAAATGGTGGAATAGGGAAGTCCAAAAGTGAGTCCAGAATTCTGGAATCTAATCAAAAGCTTATAGCAACTCAGGGAATGTTTAATCAAGAAAAAATAGCTGAATCCAATAAGAGAGCTTTGTGGTATTTTAACTTACCCTGGTACCATCCTCCACTCCCCAACTAGGCAACAGCCTTGAAAACAAAAACTCACGTTTCTTATATAGGTACCAAGTACAAAGGGAGCAGAACAGACCTTATTCTCAAAGAATTGTGGTTGTTTGTTTTGACCTGTCTAGTGGCTCCCTGAAGGACTGGCTCAAAGGGTGTGTGCCTAATTCAGAACTCTCCCGGGACTGAGGTGACTACCCAGGGTACATTTGTCAAAAACATTTCAAGGCAACTGAATTCATTGCTGCTGCCTTGAGCAAAGGATAACATTTTGTGCAAATAATAAACAAATGGAAAAGTTAGGGAGGAAAGGCTGGGGAATGAGATGCTTTGGGGGAATAAAGGCTTGAAAAGCTCTGACATATTCACGGGAATCTAGAAAGCCACATGCATACATGCCCAGGGCTGGGTTCATGCTCAGAAGAAACCTGAGAAGGCCCTAAACTTTCACCTCTGACTGACAATGAGGCTCTGCTCCAGCAGGAAGTGAAAGCTAAGACAGAATTGTGAACTGCCTGGCTGAGTGATAAAGACATGCTCCAACATATACACATAGAGCCCATGTGCAAAGGCTGGGAGATAACTTATTTTTTTGGTTCCAGACATGTAAGTAAATTGTCAAGTCACTAGTTGGCCACTAAGTTAACATAAAAGAGACTTCAGTGGCTACATATGACAAAGAATATAAACTTTACAAAATTTATAGTTCAGAAAAGCTACTAAACAATAAACAATAACTACAACAAGCAGCAACGATATAACCTGAGGAAGAGAGAGAATCTGATTTCCAGAGTAGCCAACTTATAACATTCAAAATGTAGAGTTTTCAACAAAAAATCATGAGGCATGCAAAGAAACAAGAAAGTATGGCCCAAACTTCTTCTGCAAACAGGAGAAAAAGAAATTAATAGAAACTGCCCCTTAGAACAGACATTGGATTAACTAGACATAGACTTTAAATGGACTGTTTTAGGTATGCTCAAAGAGTTAAAGGAAATCATGTCTAAATAACTAAAGGAAAGAATGAGAACAATGTCTCAAAGTAGAGAATATCAATAAAGAGATAGAAATTATAAAAAGGAACCAAATACAAATTCTGGAGTTGAAGACTACAATAACTGAAATGAAAAATTCAATATTGGGGAGCTCAATGGCAGATTTCAGCAGGCAGAAGAAAGAAATCAGTGAACTTGAAGATAGGTCAGTTGAGAATAACAGTTACTACCACAGTCACAGAAAAATAAAGAATGAAGAAAAATGAACAGAGTCTAACAGACCTGTGGGACATGATCAAGCATACTAACATATGCATAATGGGAGTGCCAGAAGGAGAGGAGAGGAAAAAAAGACACGTAAAGACTACCTGAAGAAATAATGGCCAAAAACTTGCCAAATTTAATGAAAGACAAGAATCTACACCTCCAAGCTCAACTCCAAGTAGAATAAACTCAAAGAAATCCACACTAAGGTACATTATAATCAAACTGTTGAAAGGCAAATACAGAGAATCTTGAAAGCAGCAAGAGAAGTGAATCATCATGCACCAGCAATCCTCAATAAGACAAACAACCAACTTCTCATTAGAAACTATGGAGGTGGGGGATGGTAGAATGACATATTCAAAGTGCTAAAAGGAAAAAAATTCTGTCAACCAAGAATTCTATATCTGGCAAAACTATCCTTCAAAATTTTAGAGGAAATTAAAACATTACCAAATAAACAAAAACTGAGAGAATTTATCACTAGTAGACCTGAACTATAAGAAACGCTAAAGGAAATCCTTCAGCCTGAAGTAAAAAGATACTAGACAGTAAATCAAATCTACACAAAAAAATAAAGAACATTGATCAAGATAACTACATAGGTAAATATTAAAGTCAGTAATAATGTATTTTTGGTTTGGAACTCCTCATTTCTTCCTATATGATTTAAAAGACAACTGTATAGGGGCTGGACCCATGGCCTAGTGATTAAGTTCCAAATGCTCTGCTTCAGTGACCCAGGTTCAGTTCCCGGGCACAGACCTACACCACTCATCAGCAGCCATGCTGTGGCAGCAACCAACATATAAAATAGAGGATGACTGGCACAGATGTTAGCTCAGGGTGAATCTTCCTCAAGCAAAAAAGAAACAGGAAGATTGGCAACAGATCTTAGCTCAGGGCAAATCTTCCTCAACAACAACAACAACAAAAGACAACTGTATAAAACAATAATTATAAATCAACAGTGATGGGTACACAGTGTATAAAGATGTAATTTGTGACAATAACAATATAAAGGGGGCAGAACTACATAGGAGCAAAGTTTTTGCATACAACTGAAACTAAATCGGTATTAATTTGAACTAGCTTGTTAAAAATTAAGATGTTAAATGTAATCTGCAGGGCAACCACAAAGAAAATAACTAAATATATACAGTAAAAGAAATGAGGAGGGAATCAAGATGGTACACTAGAAAATATCTATTAAACACAAAAGGAGGCACTAATGGAAGAACTGAGGAACAAAAATGATATAAGACATATAGAAAACAAATAGCAAAAGAGCAGAAGTCAAGTCCTTCCTTACCAATAATTACATTAAATGTAAATGGACTAAACTCTCCAATTAAAAGTCAGAGACTGGTAAAATATATTTTTTTAAAAACATGATACCACTGTATACTGTCTCTAAAAGACTCACTTGAGCCCCAAAGACACAAATATGTTAAAAATGAAAGGATAAAAAAAGATATTCCATCAAAAATAACCAAAAGAGGACTGAAGTGGCTATAATAATATCAGAAAAAAAACACACTTGAAGACAAAAATTATTACAAGAGACAAAGAAGAATGTTACACAATTATAAAAGGGCCAATCATCAAAAAAGACTTAATAATTATAAACATGGATGCACCTAACAAAACTCAACTAGACCTAACATATAAGGACACTCCACCTATAAAGATAGAACATACATTCTTCTCAAGTGCACATGGAACATTCTCCAGGACAGACCATATGTTAGGCCACAAAACAAGTCTCATTAAATTTACAAAGACCGCAATCACACAAAGTATCTTTTCTGACCACAATGGAATGAAATTAGAAATAATAACAATGAAATCTGGTAAATTAACAAATATGTGGAAATTAAACAACACACTCTTAAACAACCAGTGGGTCAAAGAAGAAACACATGGGAATTTAGAAAATACTTTAAGATGAATGAAAATGAAAACACACATACCAAAACTTTGAGATATAGCAAAAGCAGTGCTTAAGAGGGAAATTTATAGCTTTAATGCCTACATTTAAAAAAAGAAAGGGATTTCAAATCAATAATCTAACCTTCTACCTTAGGGAACTAGAAAAGCAAGAGCAAACTAAATCCAAAGCTTACTAGGAAGGAAATAATAAAGATTACAGTGGAGATAAATGAAATAAAGAACAGAAAAACAATAGAGAGAA